GTAGAAAATATTCACAATAAAAAATTAAACAGTTCAGTAATTCACGTTTTTTAACATTCTTTTTATCTGAATCAGTCCAATTTCACTGAGAAATTTCCCACAGTCTTGAAATTTTTGGTAGAAAAGTTGCATTAGGCTATGATTCTTAAAATCTGGCATCATAATTTATTGTATAATTAGCAAAGGGGCTGATTAATTAGTGGAGGAAGTAGTAGTTTCCTTTGATATCTTCAAGAAAGTCCAGCTGTTTTCTGGAATTTATGCTTTATTAATATACAACTAATTGGGCTCAACATGGGATGTTTTAGGCAAAAGCAAAACAGGAGGAACATGAACTACACCAAAGAAAATAATGAACATTGCTGTTAAATCTGTCAAAAAATTTAAATGCTCTACTTATGATTTGTTCTTATCTCTTTGACATTTGTGACATGCCACAATATGCTACCTCCCATTCTCACATTTTGTGCAATCAATTCACACTCTCGAGTATTTGTTTGGATTAGATGCTTGAAAATATTTCCCATAAATATAGTTTTGGATTTTATCCTTCCTAGTCTCCACTACTCTTGTGAACACACTTTATGAATACTCTAGCAAAAGGCTGTAGGGGTAGAAATGATTGCTGAAGCAACACATTTTAAGTGAATATTGCAGATTTTTTCAGAATGATAATTTTGGTTTCATAGTGGCAGATGTGGACTTGATATGCAATGGTAATTTAAATCAATGGGTCTATGTGGAGTTAAATTAGCTGAGGATTTGGCCCATAATTATGCAAATCCATACCAAAGACCTCATTCCAAGAGTTACAGTCCTCTGTCATAGAAAACATCATATGGCTCCTATATCCAATCAAAAGGCAATATTTCCAAACATTGAATACTCACTATGGGCTGTTTGTGAACAAGGAAGAATAATTGAAACATCTAAGAATCACTGTATGTTTAGAGATAATTACAGAACAGAAAACATTGGGAAAATTATCAAATTATTAGTAATTGTGATTGGACAGATAACTTTATATGTTCAGGTATTTGGTATGAATTATTGGAGAAAGAAATATGCAATTCACTTTCCATGACCATTTGTGTTGGAAAAACCTGATCATAAAAATGTTTGCAGAAAACTAACACAGATGGGGCACGGAGGAAGCAGAAGACGTGAATGAATATTCATTGCTCAGTGTTTTGAAGGCTTTCATCTGCTCTAGTGCTGACAGAGGCAGATTTTTCTAGGTAAAATTCTTTTTAAACATATACATTTCTTTTTCCTGTCAGAATCAGGTTTTCTACTTCTTTTGTTTGATTTTACATGTGGTCAAAGGTCTCCAGTATTAGGATTCTATAAGGCTATCTGGAGCACCACCTCAACAAAAAGACAAGAGCAAATTTGTTGTTGATCATTTTATACTGCATTTTTTGCATACAAGATGCATCTTTCCCCCCAAAATCAGCCCCCCAAAATTGGGGTACATATTTTAAGTGGGGAATCTGCTTTCTTTGCTGGAAAGAAGCATTTTTGGAGACATAGTGCATGCCACACAGCTGCAAAGATAGCTGCTGCTTGTCTTTGCTCAGTAAATGTAGGGGGAGGAATCTTGTGTTAACCTTTTCATAGATGTACCTATTGCCTGAGCACTGTAGCTTGTGCCCAAAGCTGCAAATGAGATGCTTGAGGAGGACTGTGGCGTGGAAACAACATTTTATTTACAGGAACTTGTATAAAGAACTACTTCCAATAAACTGACCGTCTTGCTATTACCTTTTGCAAGGGTCTCAAGCCTAACCTTGTGTGACACAGAGTAAGTCCTCCTGGGAACACAATGGGCATTTTTACATGTGGAAGTGCCTCAGTGCCAGGCACTTTGAAAAGCACTGCAATGGTGGCACTTTTATAAGTGGCAAAATGTGCAACTGGTGGCAGTATGCTTTTGAATTAAAACACCTCGGATGTGCTTTAGTTCAAAAGTGTGCTGCCACCATTTTCTGCACACTGACGCACATTTTGCTCCTTATACAACTGCAAGTGGAGCAGCAGTGTGCATCAGCTCCCATGTAGAGCAGACTTGATTAATTGAGTCTGCTCTGAAGCGGTGGATCTCCAGTGAATCTGAGAACTAAAAGGTACATGTATCAATGCCCAGTGAGTCCAGGAAGCAATCTGCCATACCAAGAAGTTCCTGATGTCACACTTCCTCGACACTCCCACGTTCTCAGGAGGACTTTATATCACACAGTTAATCAGGACTGGAAAAATCTTGTTTTCTACATTCTGTCTTCCAAAAACAAGGTGTAAGTCTTACTTGTAGGCTTGATGTATACAGGGAAAATACGGTATTTCATTAACTGATCTTTAGACCGTAAGAGTTCTATACAGCTGTTTAAGGCTCAAATGAAGCAGAAATGTTAATCAAAATCCTGGCAATTAAAATCCCATGTAGGGAGGACTCTATATATCTGGGATACTGAGAAGCAAGCCTCTTTGGTGGCTCACTGAAGTGCATGGTGGAGTGAGTGAAAAGCACATAAAAAGTGTGCAGTCAAGGAGTGGAGGCACACTGCAATTCCATAAGGGCTAGACACTGTTTGAAAATGAGCACAAGCCAACATACTCTGTGCCCTCCATAGCCTACCACAGTTAGCCACAAATTTGCTTTATAGGTAAGAAGGCCTTGAAACATACTTTAGAAAAGATTGTTTTCTGTGTCTCCTTTGACATGCTTTCTGTATTTGGACTTTCCCTGTTGGTAGAAGAGGCAGAGTTTCCTAGTTTTCTTCCAGTAACCTTTACTTTGCCTTTTGAATTATGTTCAGAAACACATATCCTTTAGAATATATCTAAATAATGCAAAATAGTTTGTGCAAGCAGGTCACTTCTGGCTCTTGGATACTAGACAGGCCTGAATATTACAATGTTATAATGCAGCACTTATCTTCCTTTCTGATTTTATGTGAATATTCTCCACCGCTTCTTCTATCTGTATAATAGGAAAATGGCTAGACCTTATAATATATTAGGTATGGGTTGTGAAAGAATATTTTTCCTACTATCTCTAGGTTTGAATAGCGTATTTCATCTGCACACACACCCTCCACAATATATTATTTCATTTCTAACTGTTGTCTTTTCCTCATCTTTGATTGGATAGACACAAATATTCCTTAAAGAGTAAAAATATTTAAAGACAATAAAGTAAATAAAAGAATGAGTTGGAGTCATTCTGCATTTAGAGATAAAGGACTGGAAAGAGATGACATGAATCATTATGACTGGTTCCCAATTCTCTTTCTTTCATTTTCCATCTTATAGTTTCATAGTTTCATAGTTTCTAGGGTCGGAAGGGACCTGAGAAGATCATCTTCACTAATATTTAAAATTGGGCCAGGTTTACAAAAAAGCTTTTGTTGGCAAAAGTACATTGCTCAAGGGATTGAAGAGTTGTGATCAACAACAGCAGACATGCAAGCAGATAGTTTAAGCAGATGAAGCTTGCAATGGCAACCCCTAGGCACCCACCATCCCCGACCACCTTCTCCACCAAAGTGAAAGGAATTAAAATGTTTCTCTGACAAAGCATACCAGTACAATGTACCAGTACAATGGTAAAGCATAGCCCTGTAAAGTACACTTCACTTCAGTCAAGGCAGAAAACATCTAAGGAACCAACACAAATCCTGTAGTTTACTTTTTCTCTCAAAAATCAGTACTATGTACAGTAATGTTAATGGGCTGGGAGCAATTGTGAAGTAGTGCCATTCTGGGCAGATCAGCATGGTCAGTTTAGCATTCTCAGTGCCAGTGCCCCTAGATCAGGGGCGGGCAATTATTTTGGGCAGAGGGCCACTTACTGAGTTTTGGCAAGCCATCAAGGGCCGCATGACAGGCAGCCCAGGGCAGATAAATATTCATTTTCTAAATTTTTTAGGGGCTCCGCAGGCCAGATAGAATGGCCTGGTGGGCTGCACACGGCCTGTGGGCTGCATTTTGCCCACCCCTTCCCTAGATGCAATGTACTACTTCAAATGAACTGTCTCCTGAAGCAGAACCAGGGCAGCTACTTCTGTGCAGGATTTTGGATGGGCTAATTAGCCGTACTGAGTGACAAAGCCAATCACTCTGCACCCTGGGTGGTCAGTCCAATTGCAGGACCATGTGGATGCAGCTGCACTGCTTCAGGGTTTAGGAAGTTGTCCTTCCAGACGAGCAGAGTGAGAAATGCCAAGGATGGTAAGGGTGGCATTGCGACATGCACTTTTTGCCTTGTCTTTCACATGCTCATTTCAAAGAACAAAACATACCAGCATGGGCAGAATTTTGAAGAGGGGTGTGCAGCTGGTAAGGTGCATCAGCACATATGAAACATCACATATTTTCTCATTTAAAATTAAACTAGAAACTTTACTAGGGGCCAAAGGCTGTATTATTCAGTTTAAGATTGAAGCAAAAACAAATGCAACTCCATTGGATTGTTAAAAACAATCTACAGGGCTACGAAATAGGAGCTTCATTACCAGCAGCAGCTAACAGAAAAAGAATAATTGCAGAAAAAAGGATAACTTGATTGGTGAAACATCAAGACCATTACAAAGAAGAAAGGGTTGTTAACACCTGTGAAATTAAGATTTTAGAAGGGATCAGGAAGATTAGAATGATCCATGAAGTCAGTTGACTGCCTCAGCTCTGCCTGACTAGAAATGCTGCTGTCACTGCCAGACAGTTGGTTTTAAACTTTTGGTGGAGCAGGAATCAAAAGGGAGTGTAAGTACACCAGGGTACCCCCATGGAACTGCCTCTGCATACCATTATTCTAAAACAAATTATTTCTTCCCACTACAATAAGAGTATAAACATTAGTTTCATAAATCAAAATTAAAGCAGATCATCCCATCTTTCTAAATTATCATTCCATTCAACCTATGGAAGTCCAAATTAGTGCTGAGAAAACAGCACAGCTAAGCAAGATCTCATGCAAACTACCTTTACTTGACACTGAGGTATAATAAGTTTTATTTTTCAAGTGTGCAACATCAATACAATTCTTATTGCAATAGCATGGGCAACATAGTACATAGAACTCAACACTGATTCTGGAGACATTAAAAAATAAAGTCCCGAGTGAGCTAACTCTGTAACAATAACTTTAATTAAAGATAATGCTGATCTAATCTGGTTCTCCTTTACCACAAATAAATTATTGGGGAATCATGCCAAGTGTGACAGAAGCAGGACATGCATGGCAATAAGCCTGTTAGAGCAAATTATGAAAATTGTACAAGAATGTAAAGGAAGATCTAGTTCTGCAAGTTTATAAAACACAAAAAGAAATGTATAAAAAAAGACCTCATGATTAGAAGCCAGATGTCTTATGGAAAGTCCTGGACAATGCCTTTGATTTTGGTGAGGATGAATGTTAACAGAAAGGAAAAGGATAATATTTTTAGTCACAAAAGACCATGGGGTAAACCATCAGGAACACTCAAATAGCTGGATAAAAAAAAATTTCCACTGGGAGGGAATTGGAGGAGGAAAAAAACACAGACGCATGAATTAAGAACAAATTGATATACATTTATTGAATTAGGAAATGGTAGTAAAAAAAAAAAAATGACGGTACTCCACTATAAAAAAAAAAATGCTTGTTTGTCTTAACATCTTCCTTTTTCATCTGACATACATATTGAAGTTTCTCTCTCATTTTTCTGTATTTTTAATTTTTACTCATTTTTAGAGAACAACAAAATCATATCCAGGCAATTTAGTACAAATATATCCTTTTGGCATCAGTCTGCTTTTCCTTTTCCTTTTACTCTCTGGTTCCCACTTCTATTTCCATTGAATTTCTTGGTTACCGCTTCCATTTTCATTTTCCACCAGTAATCCCTGCAGCTGACAAAGTAAATTATGATTCCTAGGCAGTTTGAAGCATTCATTATATTGGTTTTCCAAGATTCTGATCATATGAAATCTGCACTTGTAGCATTAGGTCTAAACTGTGAAATGATACATAAAAGTAGGTGCTCTTCCATTATCACATCATACACTGAGACTTTCTTGGCCTTACTTAAACTGGCTAAGGCAGGGGTGGGCAAAATACAGCTGTATCCAGCCCATAGGGCCCCTCCAAAAAACAATTATTACTTGTTCACAGTGTCCCCTCTGAAAGCCAGTGGGAGGAGAACTTTCAGAGGTTGTGTGCCATTTGACCAGGGCCCTGTGCTTCCACCTCTATGGGGCTCCCAGAACTCCATCTGGGAGCCCCATGTGGAGGCACGCCAAGCGCAATGGTGTGCAACTAGACAACTGGTGAGTGGAGAGGGGAGCTCCTGCCAGCAGGAGGCAGGGATGAGTGTGGGGTTTGTGGGTGGGTGTGGGCCCCCCTGCCATGGCACTCAGCCTGAAGGCAGGCTGTTGGGGTGCCCCGGCCTGCTGCAGGCAGAGCCCCCCAGTGGTGTGTGGCGCTGGCTGAATCCTGGGAGCTGCACATAGCAACACGGAGCCTGCCGGCACAAGCCTTCAAACAAGACCAGGCTGGCTCCATGCCAGCACGTGGGGCTCCTAGCACTACAGGTGGGAGCCATGTGCCATCAGGTTGTGTTGGGCCAGCTCCAGCACTTCAGTGAGGAGCCACACGTGGACATACAGAGCCCGCCTGGCCCAATGGCCCAGGACTCCCTGCAACTCCCAGTCTGTGTGTCACTGGGTCAGCTGGTAGGGGGCTCTCCAGACTAAATAGCTGCCTATCACTGGGCTAAGGCAAATGTGATTTGGTAAAAAGGGCACTTTGTGCATGAAAGCTTGTCTAGCATCTCTCCTAACTATATAATTGGTCCAAGAAAGGAAATCCATTCCGCACCCCAACCCGAGCAGGAGAGACCAAGCAGGAGAACCGATCTTTGCTTATCAAATAAAGGCCTAAAAAAGGTTGCTTCTCATATATTTCCTGGACCATCATGGCTACAACACCATTCCAACTGTACTTTACAATGAGGAGCATACACAAGTTTTCTCAAACTGGCTATCTAGGCTAGGTGATATTATAGTACCTGCCACTAGGTGGCAAGACAACCTGCTTCCACTGATCCAAAGCTTAACTAAAGGAGCAGGCACACAAAGCCAAAGCAGTATAACTTTCTGAAGCGAGAGTCAGTGTAAGAGGGTCTAGAAAAGACTAAGTTAGTGTCAAGGAGTCACATTAGTTAAGAGGGTCCCTCATGCCATCTTACAGCTTGCCTCACCACCTTTCAAGAAATACCATATTTTCATACTACCCCCACCACTTCTTGTGTTTGAAAGGCAGAATGAAGAAAGATCTTTCCTTGAAAATGCCAAGAAGTATTTTTGCAGGGCAACCACAGGCAGCTTGAACAGATGGAGCAGAAACTTGTGGCGGGACATGCCCAAGAGAAAGGCTGGGCAGCTCCACTCCAGCAGGATCAGGCCCTTAGCTGATTTTGCTGGTGTGGCTGGATGCCCATCCACCTTGAGAAGAGGGGATGGGCAGCTTGGCTTCTGCATGATTGGACTCTCTGCTTCCCATACTTTCTTCTTTAAGACATGCACACTAATTTTCAGTAGCTAATTTTCAGAAAAACATCTTCATGTTGTATGTGAATCAATTCAGTATAACTCATATTTTAATATTAATATTTAATATTTGAATTCAGTCTTCAGTAAAATTGGACAATGCTGACTCATTTCTAACAATGACCATTCCATGATTACATGAACTAGTACATAATAAACATGTGCATACTTCGGGCCTGCAAGAGTATGGAAAAAAAACACAGTACTGCTGATCAAATGCTGTTTCTGTGACCCTTTTTCTTTGTACTCAGATGCCAAGCTGATAGACAGGTTAATGATAGAAGATAGTCAAGTTCTTAGAGGCACCCATATTTTATGAAACCATGGATTAGATAGCAAACCTGGTGAGAGCAACCTGTTATCAAAATCTGGCATGTCCTCAAATTCACCGCCTGCAGAACGAGACACAGACTTTGTAAAGACCTTGATCATTCAAATATTCCATTGGCACTGCTAAAACAGTCCAAGCAAGAGTTTCTGTTAGGTCTTTTTTTCTCCTTTGATTAAAACACTGAAGAACGATATGGTCATTAGGCCTGTGCAGAGTGGCTAGTTTTCATTTTGGATTTGGATTCGGATGATGCAGGGGACAGTGACTGGATTCAGTGATTCGAATTACTGTCCCAAATTGATTCAGCCAAATCTGATTTGGAGATTTGGCCGCTGCTGAATCAGCTGAATCTGAGTCACACAGGCCCCATCCCCCATCTGCTCTCCCAGCCCTGCCCAGCCCCAGCTTCTGGCTCTTTGGGGAAAAAAAGCCCTGACTCACCAGCTGTTGCCAGGTTGATGGGGGGTGATCCTTGCTGCACCCCACTGCCCTGTGCTGCATGGGGGGATCTGCCACAAGCCCCCAGAAGCCCCAAGGTTACTGCAGCAGTCGGTGAGTCCAGGCTTTTTTTTTTAAACAACTGGGAGCTGGGGTGGGGAATTCCTGCTTAGCAGGGAGTGGTGAGGGAAGCA